CATTGTTCCGACAATACTCCAATACCATTCAAACATTTCAAATAGTTCGATTTATGCGCTTTGAATCGAGCGGCTTACCCGCATACTTTCTCGCTTTGACGGTTTTATTAGCAGCTTCATGATGACCTTGCGCACTCTCGATGGCGCTACATACCAAAACGCAACCAAGTCTGTCAGCCACCTGATCGGCGCCTCCAAGACGGCCAGGATTGGTGGACATGAGAAGCAAGGGGGAATTCGAAATAATGGCGGACGGATTTTGTGTCGATCAATGAACGAATTTCCTCTGAGCAGGTAGTTTTCGAGGCTGTTTATACTTGAAGCAAAGGTACTCATCGGTTCGCTGCAGGGATTAAGATTGCCGGCCCAGGCACTGGTGATTCTTGAAGTTTCCCTGCTGCAGTCTAGACGTGGTAGTCCTACGGTTGAGGGCACCTTTGACGTTCGGGCTGGCCAACGCAGCGTCCGTATCACGGTATTTGGTCACAGGATCACGCCAATTGGCCAGTAGTGCTAGGCAATGGAAACATGTGTTTCTCTTATTACAGCGCCCCATCCTGCCAATACTTCGCTGGCTGCTACCCAGCCTCTGATCAGCGTCTTCCTCGTAGTCAAACCACATTACAAGCCAAATAAACAATACCCCCTGATAAAAAACGGTACATGGGGGTTTTTTGCTACAAACTTATCTTGCCGGCGTCTTCTGTTGGTGAGGTTGCCTGCAAAACGCCTTTTTTACAGTCATTAGCGACATCTACTTCCTACCCAACGACTGCTAATCTTCTCTCAAGCCCCACTGACAAGGCCTTAGCGCCGATTCCTTCATTGAATGTGCCGCGCTAAATTGAGGGCCGCCGAAAAATTGTCCTTACCTAGTACCGTGGCCATCAACGCTTACCGCCCAGCATTAGAAGCACAGATATAACATTAAGTTACAAAGGGAGATACAACATTATACATAGCGCGTTTTTGCAACGATCCTCAACTTGGTATGACCCGATCAATAAAGGATCTGCTCACTTCAGCAATTACGTACAATTTGAGCCACTTATCAAACTGAGCACTGAAAACAGAGCAGCGAGCGGTGTTAGAACTCCAGATCTTTACTTTCATTTTTGTTAATACAATTCTTCTCGTATCTACATTGAAGATTTCAAAGGTCTTCACTAGTTACTTCAAGGTAATTTATCTTCTTCGCTGCTATCTATTACGGCGATAAGAATCAGAAATCGATACCGAATATGATATCATCTTGCGGTTCGATATATGACGGATTGTAAGCACGGAATTCTTGACCTGAAACAGTGGTCGGAGGAGGAGGTTATCGGATTAGGGGAAAAAGAATCCAGAAAGATAAGCAGTGGAATCTCCATTAGTCCCTGTTCAATGATGATTCATAGGCCCCGTCGCTCAATATGGTCGCCAACTTGCCTAAGCATAAATATACTGCCCCAAGTTTCTAGGTTGAGAAGGGAGTGGTTTATTCCAGCACCTCGAAATCATGCAAGAAGACTTGCTGCAACCTTTCACAGGCCCTATCGTTTAATTTGGCCATATGCAAGCGTCTACTTACAAACCAAATTAATAGTCACAGCATGGGTCTTGGTGGTTCTCGAAGTAATTGATACAGAGACAGAGAAGATGATTGATGGTGATGATGATGAGATTCTATTAGCCTGATGCTGCCTAGCTAGAGTCGCAGTGGCAATGCAGACGCTTCGTCCGTCCGAGGCAAGAATATGCCCAACGCTGGTAAATCCCACATGCAGTAAGGAATGACTATGCACAAAGGAAACAGGTATCAATAAAGCCGAAAATGCCAAACAAAGAAAAATCACTCTAAAAAAGACGTCGCTGTCGCCATGCAAAATGCCTTGATATCCCCTATATCTTCCTGTTGACCTCCTCCTTCTGCGGTTATCAACTCCCTTCTGCCCCGCTGGCAGTAGCATACCCCGCTTCGATCAATTATGGTTCCGTACGCTTCTCTGTCGCTATGGGCGACATCTCACTTGTCGCTCACTTCGTTGTTAGATACGCATCATCTTCACCCCTTGCCCGTTCCGGTCACTCCCGGTTTGTTGATTCAGTGTCTTCCGGTTCAATGTCATATTGGCGAAACTGTCCGGGAATATCAGTGGGTAGCATGAATTCGGTGACGTAGCGAATCGCCTGCGGGTGTATATGGTACCGAGATATCCATTGCGTTACGTTGTAAGTCTATGACTAGATACTCTCCTTTCAATGGTCAGTGATCACCGAACCAATCAGCAAGCTTCCGGTGCGACCATTTACTGATTGGTCAAAATGATCAGCTCCGCAGTGGGGCTACAAAGGTAGCCTTTCCGATTGCCGATTAGAGTTTCCGAAGTAGATCAAGTTTACCCAAGCTTTCCTCGCGTTGCTCCTCATACGATTGGTTAATCAGTGCCCCACCCCCGGTAGATCTTCAATAGCGCCTGTAACCCTCCGCCTCTACCTAATATAGCCACTAGTGCCCTACTAGGTCCGTATCCTCTTAGGTGAGTCGGCATCTTTAATCCGAACATACTGTCCGCACGGCACGGATGGCGAATTTACAAACTACCTGATGTCTTATTCTAGGAATGCCGCATCTTCCGAGTCATATTGCCTCAGGAACAGAAGAAAGGCTATTTAAGACGCCATGTATGTCCAGATTGATTGCCCTTCTTTCTATCACCACAGTACTCTAATCTTCAACTCTCCTTGAAAAAGCAAGACTTCAAAGACTTCAACCTTTCTCTTCTATCAAATACCACCATCTCGATTCAAGATGCTCGGAAAGATCGCACTTGAGGAGGCCTATGAGCGCACCGGCTTGGAGGAGAAGTCCATCCGTGAGGCTAAGCTCTACATCGCTCCCGCCGACCGTGAGCGCTACATGCGCCAGATCAGTGACATCAATGGCGAGCGTGTTACCCTTTCCAACGCCCACGGCATCGGTTATACCGTCGTGTCTCTGACCGTCCCTGGTATCCAGGGCATTGCCGACCCGGCTGAGGCTGAGCGCATCGCTACTGAAACCAACAACTGGGTTGCCGATCAGATCAAGGAAAAGCGTGACCGTATGGGCGCCTTCGCCTGTCTCTCCATGCACGATCCCGTCCAGGCCGGTCAAGAACTCCGCCGCTGTGTCAAGGAGCTCGGCTTCCACGGCGCCCTTCTCTGCAACTTCCAGCACGCTGGCCCGGATGGCGAGACCTACTTGTTCTACGATCAGCCCGAGTACGATCCCTTCTGGAAGGTCCTGTGTGAGCTGGATGTCCCTCTCTATATTCACCCTGCCGCTCCTACCGGTGTGATCTACGAGAAGCTCTACGCCCAGCGCCCTTACCTTCTTGGACCGCCTCTCTCCTTCGCCAACGATGTGTCCCTTCACATCCTAGGATTGATCAGTAACGGCGTCTTCGATCGTTTCCCTAAGGCTAAGGTCATTATTGGTCACCAGGGTGAACATATTCCCTACGACTTCTGGCGTATTAACCACTGGTTTGAGGATGTCAAGAAGCCTATTTCTAAGGAAGAGAACGGTGTTATGTGCAAGAAGACCATCTATGACTACTTCAAGAACAACATCTGGCTCACTACTAGTGGACACTTCTCCACTGCTACCTTAAAGTACGTTGTTAGTGAGATCGGTGCCGACCGTCTCCTCTTCAGTGTTGACTACCCCTATGAGACTATTGAGGATGCCTGTGGCTGGTGGGACAATGATGCCAAGGCCATTGCTGAGGCTGTTGGTGGCGTGGAGAACTACCGCCGCATTGGTCGTGATAACGCAAAGCGCCTGCTTAAGCTTAGCAAGTTCCACGACTCTGAGGCCCCCGTCTCTCTGTAGAGCCACGGTCTGATAATCTCTCTATATGCGTAGAGCGTTATGAAACCGGGAAGAGAAAGTCTTTCAATGCCTGTATGTAAGAATATATGTAAACTCGAACTTTTGAGAATATACTACTTTTGGAAATCTGTTAGAACGTGCTGTAAGCCTTAGATCAAGTCTAGTAGTTGATCTGATAAGAATTGAATATGCCTTCATATAAAACATATATTCGTAAGAACAATTTCTTAATACCCTATTATGGGGAGAAAATCCCTCGCCATGGATATCACTCATAGTGTGAAGATAAAGGACATAGTCTTGGTTAGTCAATTATGAGCCGGAAATGGAAATGTGGAGTATTATCTGAGTCGCTCTATTTAAAGTCCAAGGGAAAGTTTTTCCAAATGAGTTAAGTTGGCAAACATGAACCATATAGGTCTTGTAAAGGCATACAGTCTCTATAAATCATGAAAGCGGATCACTATTATAGAAGTGATTGCCGACTGTTGTAATCCCAAGAGAAAGATTGATTGTTCTTGTACTAGAGGGAATAACAGAAGCTATAATAGACACGTCAGTATTACTTATTCTCTTTGCAGCCGTCGGATCCCGCAGCAACCCAATTCATAGCGCCTCTATCCGCGAGCTGCTGCTTGGTAAAAAACCTTAGGGATATGCGGCACTTTCTCAGGCAATCTCTGCTACTCAGCCGGTTAGTTATGCTACTGTGCAGGTGCTATACCTGCTTATGGCTGGTGAGGAGGATAATTCGGTATCCACGAAGGGATGCCAGCATATCTTCCAGCATCTCTCGAGCAACAGAAAATCGCTTCAGGTACTAGAGGGAGTGGGACTGGCGATTCATTGTAGCGCCTTATGAAGTTGGCGTGCTTATTGCGCAATTTCCAGACGGTATCGTCGTTTAATCTTATGAGTTTAATCTTATGATTAGCACTAAGATTGACATGCTATAAATTCCAATCTCTATCCTTGTGCTTCGAATCTGCTGAGAAGTAAACATAAATCGAAGCGTGGTAGTCGAATTGATTGAATTTTCAATACTGCAAATCACCCGACTTAAAATATGTGATAAAAACGCTATATTCAAATATGAACCAATAACCTTAAGAAGCAACGATATACCAATTTTAGTTCTTGCTCATGCACTGTCGGATTGCGTGTCTGCCACGAGCTTCACGTCGTACTTAAGCTCAAGCGCAGCGTAAGGGTCACCATCGCACGGAACAAAGTCTACGACCAGTGAATCCTTGACTGCAAACACGGATTCGTTCTCCAGGTATGCCCTTGCGGTCAAAGATCTGGGTAATAAGAGGACGATAGCCATTGTGAGTAGCCTAGTAGAGCGTTCAGTAAAAATATATCTTATTCGGCGTATCAACCATACCATAATATGAATGTGAGTAGGACGGAAAGGGTGGCGATCCATAAGCGCCAGCAGCTTTCCCGCGGGACCTTAACAAAACATATCAGCTTTAACTGATCCAGGAAGAAAGAAAACATCACTAACCATCGCCTGGAACAGGGTACGGGGTCGGCCGCAAGTAGTAGAAGTAGTACCGCCCATCAGCATCAGTCTGGAACTTGCCACGCAGATTATACTCATCCTGCTCAGGGTCCTGCTGCTCGTACAACCCATTTGTCGAAGCCTCCCACCCCTCTACAGTGGCACCAACAAGTGGCTTCTGCTTAGCGAAATCTATAATCTGGCCGTGCATAAACGCTATCTGGCCATCCTTGGGCTTATTGATGACGATGTCATCGCTATTAGAACGGGACGGGGTATCCGCACGGAAGAACGGTCCAAGAATAGCAGTGGCAGTAGGTGCGTCCTTAGCCTCCTCGGCCAAAGTAAAAGTGATCTCGTCAACGAGCCTGACGGGGCGAAGTTAGTGAAGGACTTATTTCCGTCGCGCCTACGCGCGTATTTCGTATCTTACGATTCAAGTCCGATCACGTCGCAGACTAGTTGCCCCTCATTGCGCTTATTATCGCTCATCTATCCCGCCTAATTGAGCATCTCTACGCCAGCCATCCACTCATCGACAGTGAGCTCGTTCTCGCGCGCGAAATCATGCACGTGTCTGATTAAACCGTTCATGAGCTGGCGCATACGTGGCGAGGTCTTGGAGCCCATAGAGTTGATGACATTGTCGGTGAAATCGGGGTCGAATCGATGTGTGGCCATTGTGAAGGTTCGGTGTAGTTGGTGGCGTGTCGAGAAGGACAAAGTCAAAGTAGAATCGAATATTTTTTAAGGTCTTGTTTTTAGAGGTCGCGGAGGTCTAATACAGAGAATAGTCATGCGACACGCTGCTGCGGAGCTTGAGTATTTAATTGTTTCAATGTCCGAGGGTGAATTTGCCTTCGGCTTAGAGCGGGAATATACGCCAACACGGATCTTGGACTTAGTTCCGGGACCCTTTAACGGACTTGACTAACTAGTCGATGCTCATTCGAGGGTGACCCCGCAAAATGGCAGCGCGGTGACATAATTGGGTCGGGACGGGATCGGATTTTGGAGTCGGGGGCGTCAGATGCTGCTTTGACGCATGGTTCAAAGCCGGCAAAAATTCCTTCTCCTGCGAGACGCTTCGAGGCAATGTTCCTAGTCTTCGTACCATCATACAGCACAAAAGGTAAAGCCTGGGTTTGAAGTAGGTTCAAACAAAAGGATCCCATCTTCATGTTTTCTCCATTTTTCTAGTACCATGGAAATATCAAATTTATCGCGGAGTTCTCCAATATTTTTCGGTCAACGGCTGTCATAACCGTCTGAGAATATCGAATAAATTCGGTGTTAACGGTAAAATTCCAGTACACTTTCGATGATTAGCTTATAGAATCGGCACGCCAATCATCATTCTTAATAAGGCTAGTTGTATTTTTCCATCGATAACCTTTTTTTCCGGGGCATCAAGGGCATATCGTGGTCATCTTGATTGTTAAGGACAATCAACCCGCATTTCTCGGCTTCTTCAGATGCGTTTTCTGCTTTTCTTAAGGTGATGTGATTCGGAAGTTGCGGCAATTATTTTTAATGGCAAAACGGGTTTTGTAAAGTTGCTATCCGCACGTCGCGAACAGCATGCTCGGACTGAAGATGCCGACACCCCTGAGAGGATAGAGATCTAGAAGCGTGCTTATGGCTACATTGAATAAAGGCTGAGAGTTAGAGGCGCCACAGACGATCTGCGAATGATGCCCTCATTGGCCAATCGTACGATGAGCAACGCGAGAAAATTGGGACTTGAACCTTCTACATCGGAAACTCTATCGACAAACGGAAAGCCTTCTTCTGGAGCCCCACTGTGGAAACCTTTAATTTTGCCCAATGAACAAGCGGACGCACCGAGAGCTTGCTGATTGGCTTAGTAATAAGTAACTATTCGAACTAGCGTATTCAGCTACATAGTCACTTGGTTATTGGAGAACCTGTATTTATAGTATTTTCCTGTCACTCTGATATGCACTATTCATGCATAAGGGTTAGACGTGTATCATTAGTGCCTAGCGTAGTGGAGACTGTATAGCCTTTAACCGAGAAGTTCGGACTCTCATCGGTCGAACCAAATCGCTCCAGAATTTGTGGCACGTCAATTCCTTCCTTGTTGAGGGATAAGATCAGGCCTTTCGGTCCTATCAGACGACCATATCCCTCGGAAATATGTAGAGTCGCTTATGATTTTGGGCTTTCGCATCTCTTCTACAGAATTCTCATTGGAAATGTTCTAGGGGCGGTATTCATCCGTCTTGCCCTCTGGATGTGCAAATTTTTGAATTCCATGAACGGCGTAGTGTCTCCATGGCGAAGGGAGAAAATATCCGGGCAATCTGACCACAGAGGATTGATGCGGGCGGACCCTTTCCTGAACGGTGAAATCATGGTTTAACAGTGGAGCTTTAGAGATTGACCAGGCCCCACCCGTGACACTAAATTATATTGAATCGAGAATTTGAGTCCGGCGCGTTGGAAAGTTCAATGGTCTTAAATGGCTCATTCCTTAGTTCAAAACTTTCCTGACTTGACATTTTGGGTTCCACAGTATGGTTCCGAGACTTATTTTCTGATATCTCTTGATCTATTATATATCATCGGCCTCTCTACCAGCAACTTTTTGTTCCTCAGTTTCGGATGGACAACATCGTGACTGAGCCAGGGCCATGGCAAATAGTATTACTCCCGCCGGACCTCCACCTGCAGGTCAAACGTCGAACTTTATCAACCCTGATTATGGTGGTACCAAGCTCCTGGTGGTGAATTGCGTGTTTCTTCCGTTGGCTGTCATTGCCCTTGCAGTGCGAATATGGACACGATTCTTTATCGTACGAATCTTCCGCGCTGATGATTGTGAGTGTCGATATTGATTCTCAAGGAGCCTAATTGACAATCTCTTTTCTAGTTTTAATGGTTATGGCTTTTGTATGCTTGATGACGAGTTTTTGTATTCAGTTCCTAAAGTTTTCTACTGACATAGGCTATAACAACAGGTATTATCATGTGTCCTTACCGGAGTAGTTTTAGATAGTAAGTGAAGCTGATGCAGCTCTGAGTACGCAACTGACCTTATCAGTGCTGAATTGGGGCCTGGCAAAGCATATGTGGGATGTTCCTTTATTTGAATACTCACCAATGTTTAATAAGGTTAGTGAAGCTGCTACCCTTGTTGGAAGCCCAGATTGTTGATAGACAATTAAAAATAGTTGAATCTCACCGCCGCCATTATCTATTGTGCAGCCACTGGGTTCACCAAATGTTCCGTCCTAATCTTCTACCTCCGAATCTTCCCAAGTCGCAAATTTCATACCGCCGTCTGGTCCCTCGTTTTCATTGCAGCTGGATACAGCTTCGCCAGTGTACTTGCAAATATTTTCAGCTGCACTCCGATTGCCAAGTCCTGGGACTCTACAATAACTACAGGATCCTGTATGAACCGACCTGTCTTTTACTTTGCCAATGCTGGCTTGGGTATTTTTACAGATTTCGCGACGGTTGCTGTGCCGATGTAAGTAGCTTGTGATTTTCAGGTTCTTATAGAGCTGATAAGGTCGCAGACCATGGATTCGTCGCTTGCAGATGCCTATGCGGCAGAAGATGGCTGTTTGCGGGATTCTTGTAATTGGATGCTTGTGAGTCTGATCTAACCGAAAAATCTGCTAGTTCTAATAATGGCATAGCGTCGGAATTGTGAGCAGTATCCGCCTTGCTACTATCTACTTCCTTTTGAAGAGTACTGATCTTACTTGTGAGGCTTCTTATCAATGACTGATTTAGAGAGAGTCTAAGAATAGTCTATAGGGACGACTACCAAGGCGCTTATGTGGTGCATAATCGAACTGAACCTTGGAATCTTCGGTGGCTCTGTCACAGCCATGCGACCCTTTTTTCGACGATACTTCCCCTATCTCCTTGGTTTATCCTCCGCCAGCGGATACTATGAATCAGATTCTCGAAAACAATCACTCCCCTTGAGCTCTTTCCCCCGAGGCGAGCAAATCGACTTCTCGCACCGCGATCATCACTACTCTGCTACACTCACAGCATCCCGAATCGCACCCGATAATGACAGCGAGGAGCATATATTGTTTCCGAAGAATGTTGCGCTAAAGGGGGTAGATGGTATCATACGGACGGTGGAATTTGATATAGAGGACATATCTACTGAGATGCGGTAAATAAGCTGATAGTCACTGAATTAGCTTATAATTTAAGCGCATAGTTTATTTTAGAATATGAATAAGAGCCCCTGACTTGAATTCTTGATCATTAGCAAGTGGCGGGTGGCGCTCGCAATAGCAGGGTGTAATCGAAGTATAATCTTAGCTTTTTTTATCCGCATTCCAAAGCGAGTCATATAACTATACAGCTCTCTCTCGTTTCCGATACCTATCAAGTCACATAACAGCCGGTTAAGGTTCTGCATGCCTGTAGGCTTCATCAGGACCCAACTTTAGACCCAATCTTGGCAATGCCAAGGACCAAAGAACCCAATCTGGACTCAATTTTTGTTACAAAGTGCCCTATCTAGGAAATTCTTGGCATTTTAATGCATTTTTATGTAAGAAGTTGGATCCCAGACTCAATATCATTAGGTATTGGGTCCAGACTTTAGACTCAATTGGGTTTTGGAGAAGTCTACTTGCCTACGGATCTACTCCCCGCTATATCTTGCTAAATCGATAATGCCTCAGGGGCTTAATTTTTCCAAACGCCGGACTAAAGTCAGCCTAGACGCTAAGCTAACACTTTCGGCAGATGAGGATACCTATAGTAGCATATGCCCAACTCCAAGAGTACCTCGAACAGAAGTCTTCGAATCTCAGCTTTAATATTCCTCCCCATGGTGCCTGCTTGTTTCTTTAACTCATATTCAACCATATTTACATCATGGGTATTTCATCTTTTCAGTTGCCCCTGGTCGGGTATACGGTTACGATCACAGCCGATTCTTAGATGACTAGAAGCACAATAGCTGTCGCGGCTGGCTACAGGGCTCTGCAGAATTCTTTCGCTAGAACCCTTTTTACAAGTATAAGGCCCGGAGCTTCTGGTCGAAGTCTGAGACCATAGCTCTGGGGTGTTTTTTTCTTCCTGTTCATTCGAGAGCTATCTCAGGGTCTAAGGGCACTTACTAGTGCTCATGCTGAGTTTTCTGGTAGTAGTGGCGGCCATATGAGCAATCGGGTAAGCTTTGCGCTAAGCAAAGTACGAATGGGAAAAATTCGGCACTTTATGGGGCTCTAAAAACATCGAAGGCGGTGTCTTAGTTAGTATATGAAACTCAACTGATTTACAGGTGAGTCACGGTAAGTAGCTTCTGTCAGTCGGCCCTACTTACCGGTAAGCCTTTCTTTGCTTCACGCCCTTTTGAACAAGAAATTAACAATAGTAGAGGAAAGATTTATATTAATACGTTAACCGATGAAGGTGGTCATCTTGGCCCTATTAGTCTGCCCAGTCTACTCATCGCTAGAAATTTCAACTTCTACGGTGTCCAGGTAAGCTTTGCTTAGACCACCGTCGTCAACTATAAATTATCCTGGCCGAGGGCTTCTCGTCCAGGTCAACACCACTAGTGACTCGTACTTATTTTAGGCCTTAAAGAAAAGTAGCAGCAACTTCGGTCTGGTTACCCTCTTTAATATAGAGATCATTTTGTCTCTCCAGGTACGGGCGGCAGTTACACTAACTAGTATAAGTAATAATGAAACTTTCCTCTAATACCTATAATACGAAGATGGATATCATGCCTGAATTCTTATAGGAAACACGAATATAGTATGATTGATCATTCTACAAATATAAAAATAGCACATTTTCTGATATTTCCTAGCCTTTCATCAATATCCCCGTTATCTCCAGCACTCCTACTATCAAGACTATTTCATAATTCACCGCCGAGACTATTAAGGTGATTTACGACGACATCATCTAAGATTTCTCCCTATTTTAGGTCAAATGCACTACTCAGAAAACTTAGTAATGTTTTCGTTACTACAATCAGAAAAGTACTTACAATAAGCTTTACGAGGAAATCAGCAGCATCATCATCAACACTACCTTCTTCAACCAGCTCCCTAAACTGATAATCACTGCAAGAAATCTTCATCATCTAATTGGATGGGCAGTCTCGTACTAGTAGTAGTAGTATTCAATTGCCCCGATCTGGCTTCCTCTACGTATATAGTGCTATGCAGGGGTGCTATCAGGCCTGCTGATGGCGGAATGGTGCGCAGCACCCTGGCGATCAGGTCTTCAGGGCCCCTAGCGAGAGCCTTTTATGCCTAGTGCCGGTAAGAATGGTAGTAAAGAGAATTACGCAGTATAAAGTGCAGATTCGGTGACAATGCCAGTCCAAAACATGCAAAAACATAGGAATTGCCAAAGAAAGTGAGATCCTCGGGCTCAGAGGTTGGTGGCCCCACTTTTTATTTTTTTATTTTGCCCCGCGGAAGTGCCCACCGCCTTTAGGGAGGCAACTCGCCGCCCACAGCTTCCACACATATAGGAGGATACCATCATCCGTCCTACAAGGGTCGTCTCTTGCCAGACTGTCATCATACCTAAGAGAGGAAGAAGATCTGAGTCCTCAAAACCTCGTGGCCGATCGGCTGGCAAGTGGGCCCGCCGCCTTGCTTGATCTTTGTGTGCATGGCAACGGAGACCAATGCCTTGGTGATAGAAATATGGATGAGCATAGCGCTCCACGACATGATAGTCTAGCTCCACCCAGCCTGGAGTTTCACCAACCAGCTTTATGCCCCAGACATCAAGAGTAGGCTTCGGCACGACACAAGTTTACCCGGACCCAACCCAACCCTTGGGGCCCCAATTCACAAATATAGCAAACATACCAAGCTTTTTATTACAGCATGTTTGTAGTACGTTTTAGGGCCCTATATATATGAAATTTTATGATTTTACTTATTATTCTCCTGTTATCTACTATCAAATATATATATTACCTATGATATATCTTATTATTATCAGTTTCAAAAATAAAATAAAATACAAGAGGTTCTCAGGATATGGTGGAAACCCGATAGAAGTAGCAGAATACAGAGGATATAGAAGCATAAAATTATGCAAAATAGGACCCAATTGGGTACCCAAGAAAACCCAATGGGCTGGGTTGGGTAATCGAAGTTGGACCCAAATTGGGTCCTGCCGAAGCCTAATCAAGAGCTTGATCAACCAATTCAGTCAGTGAGCTGTAGAAATGAGCAAATCGGGTGCTTTGTGCATTATCCCAGGAAAGGCAAAAATGGTCAGAGCGGCGTATCTAGTGGTCCATGATACAAGAAGTAGCATCGGTAGACTACCCATGACTTTGGATGATTAGATCTTGATATCCGAGAGACAAAGTAACAGATATGATACTAATTTACTTTCTTTCCTCAGAAGTATTATACACCCTTCGTACTCAACGATACTAAATCTTACATAATGAAAGAATGCCCTTCAGAACCTCGCGGCTCTGTGCCACACCTTTTATCGGTGTTGTTATTAAGCATGGCCATCCCTATCACACTCAAACGGCCAAGGACATCCTCATCACACCCCTGTCTACTCCAAGCATATGCAGGGAGTGATTTCTTGCACTTTGGAGTCTTAGACTGCAGGATCAGGCAGTTTTCTTGGCCTTAAGATTGGCCACGGGGAACATAGGCAATTTGAAAGGGATAGCGACAGCTGACATGAGCCCATCCAAGATGATATACCAGGCGATCATACTAGACACGAAGAAAAGTGCTCCACTTGCCTAAATTTGATCAGTAATGTATGAAAGCGTCGAGGGTGCCATATTTCTCACTTTCTGACATCTGGTGGCTGAAGCGGTCTCCAATGAGGCCAATTGCCAGAAAGCAGCAGCTAGAAGCTCCATACCAAGGGTCAAGCAGAGGAAAAGCAACATGTAGACAAGGTTTGTCCTCACGCTGACCAAGAAGAAGAAGAATGAGAGAATACCGACATAAAGGGGATAAAAGGCTACAATACTTATTAGTAGATTGTTGTTATTAAGTTTCTGGAAAGTCACTTACCAAAGGCGCGGTGGAACCCTGGATTTGCCGGATTTGACGGTTCGTACGCTGCTGCTGCATTAAAGTAGGGAGTTAAAGTGGCGGCAAAAGAAAGATAGAAACTTCCTGTTTGAAATATAAATATCCGATTTTAGTTTCACTCCTTTCACCTAGACATGCTGTAAACAGAGATAGAGAGATTTTTCTCTTACCATAGGTGCCAAAGACAAGATACACAAAGGTGTTGCCCAAGATAAATTCCAGAATGCAGGAGATAATGAGCAATAGCCCACCAGAGAACCAGAAAACTCCCCTAGAAAATGTAAGATTCATCGATCATCGAACGAGAGAGGGTTAACGTACACTATCGCAGCACCACCTCCTCCTGCGTCTCGCCATCCCATCATCTCGGCCGATAGAGGCCCCAACCCCAAGAAGAGGCCAATAAATCCTCTTTTAAGTGCACGAGTCAGCAAATGCTTACAATCCTAATTAGAGAAAAGAGGAAGTTACAAGACAGTGGGGCTACCTCCGAGCCAGTTCGGACGTCGATATTCAGGTACAGGAGCTTTCTTTTCGGCCATAGCAGCAGCGGCTAATCGGGCGCCAGAGTCTGGCACCGCTGGGGCTTCAATGTCCTCCATTGTCGAGTGAGAATCTTCTGGTCGAGAATCTTCGGGTCAATTTGGAAGGGAAGAGAATCGATATTTGGAAGTAGAAAACAACATCCGAAATTTTTCTTTCAAACTTCGCTACATTGCGAAGGGAGGGTTTTATGCACTCTCGTGACGAAAGTAGATCCGGCTATAGTGCTCCTGGTTGAGATCAATATTTGCGATACCATTAATTGATTATAGCGCAAAGGTTTACATAGTCTTACGTGTCGGAATTCGGATTCATCAGAAGAGCATCAAAGTTGCCGCTTGTCCCATAGTCGATTATCACTGAGCCAATCAACAAGCTCTCGGTGCGATTGGGCAAAATTATCAATTACCGCAGTGGGGCTACAAAGGCAAGCTTTTCCAATGTTGCGGTATTCACTGCACCTACTTAGCCGGTCAAAGCGGTGAAATGTCCCACAGTTTGAGCATAATTCGGGCTGTGGGATCCGTCCATCCCAGAATTTAGAGTTCACCACCAACTATTGTTTATGTGTATATTTTGCACCAATATTGTAAGGACTATAGTCTTATCCCGTGTGCACCGAATATGTTTCACCGATTATCGTTCAGAGTTTTCGAAGGAGATCAAGTCCCGAACTTTACTCGTGTTGGTCCTCGTCCGATTGGTCAATCAGTACCGCCCCCGGCAGAGATCCCTTCAGTAGCGCCCGTAAGCTCCACTGTTATAGCACGTGACCCATTATGAGTGTCGCTAACGTGAAGTCCGGTTGCGCGGGCGACCCGGTTGAGCGAGCGACCCCACCAAAAATCCACTTCCATATTAATACGTCTTCTTCAACCATAACAAGAATGCCCCCTGAGCGCTCCGATAAGAAAAAAAAGCTAATAGAGCAGGAGGGTCGTCTTTTATTAGCTATAAAAGCTATAAAAGATGGTAAATATCCCTCTGCTGCGGCTGCTGCACGATCCTTTGATATCCCTGTCTCAACTTTGAAGGCACGGATTAATGGGCGTGAATCTGCTACTGAAAAGCGACACAATCGCTTTATTTTCACCGAAATTGAGGAAGGATCGATTGAAAAATGGCTACTGGATATGGATTCTAGAGGGGCAGCTCTTACTTTGCCTATGTTGCGAGATATGGCTAATCTGCTACTTTATGCCCGAAAAACTACGCCCTCTACTGTGGGTAATCATTGGCCTGCTGAATTTATCAAACGACGCCCAAATCTCTCTACTCGATTCTCTCGCAAATACGACTATCAGAGAGCCCTTTCAGAAGACCCTAGAATCATTAAACCATGGTTTGATTCGGTGCAAAAAACAATTGAAAAGTGGGGTATTGTCTCGGACGATATCTTTAACTTTGATGAGAGTGGTTTTGCTATGGGTATCGGCGCAACACAAAAGATTATCACTTCTGCAGAATACCACGGGAAAAGAGCTCTTTTACAAGCCGGAAATCGCGAGTGGGTAACCATAATCGAGTGTATTCGAGCTTCTGGAAGTATTATGCCTCCACTCTTCATTTTCAAGGGAAAAAAGTTTCCAGAGCATCTACGCCCTTATCTTCTTTTAAATCAAGAAGGAGCACGTCTCACTATGAGTGAAAATGGCTGGACTACTAATACAATTGGTTTATGGTGGTTGAAACATCTTTTTATCCCAAATATTGGGCCAAGAGTGGGGAAATATTGCCTACTGGTCCTCGATGGTCATGGGAGTCATTTGACCCCCGAATTTGACCAACTTTGTGAAGAAAACCAAATTATCGCAATCTGTATGCTTCCTCATGCTTCCCACCTTTTACAACCTTTGGATGTGGGCTGTTTTTCGGTTTTGAAGAGGCTTTATGGAGGAGCGGTTTCAACCTTGATGCGGAATGGAGTGAACTCTATTGATAAGGAAGATTTTCTTGAACTTATCGCTGATGCGAGAATTGGTGCTTTTAAGACTTCTACTATACAAAATAGCTTTTCAGCTACTGGATTAGCACCATTTGATGCTAATAAAGTCTTGGAAAAGCTAAATGTGCGCCTGGATTCCCTTCCTCCTCTCGATATTGTCTCACAGCGACCACTCTCTTCCGGCAGTGATAGTGATCCAAATACTCTCTGGACTCTCTCAAAATTCACAAAATCACAATCTCGGATCAAAAAAGGTCTAGAATCTTCTTCTTCAATCCTCTCTTCACCAACAAAAAGAGAGCTTCAGAAGACCTATGATATGACTATCAAAGTGGTCCA